CACTGCCTGTTTAGCCCCGCCCACCGATTCTACAGCACTGCCTGTTTAGCCCCGCCCACCGATTCTACAGCACTGCCTGTTTAGCCCCGCCCACCGATTCTACAGCACTGCCTGTTTAGCCCCGCCCACCGATTCTACAGCACTGCCTGTTTAGCCCCGCCCACCGATTCTACAGCACTGCCTGTTTAGCCCCGCCCACCGATTCTACAGCACTGCCTGTTTAGCCCCGCCCACCGATTCTACAGCACTGCCTGTTTAGCCCCGCCCACCGATTCTACAGCACTGCCTGTTTAGCCCCGCCCACCGATTCTACAGCACTGCCTGTTTAGCCCCGCCCACCGATTCTACAGCACTGCCTGTTTAGCCCCGCCCACCGATTCTACAGCACTGCCTGTTTAGCCCCGCCCACCGATTCTACAGCACTGCCTGTTTAGCCCCGCCCACCGATTCTACAGCACTGCCTGTTTAGCCCCGCCCACCGATTCTACAGCACTGCCTGTTTAGCTCTGCCCACTGATTCTAAAGCACTGCCTGTTTAGCTAGGCCCACCAATTCTACAGCACTGCCTGTTTAGCCCTGCCCTACAGAAGCAGCAAAGAGAGCCGCTTCAGAAACATGCGTGGCTCGGCTGGAATAAACCATAGACTGTATAAAAACATTAACACAAGCATTGAGTGGCCGCAATCAGCTTCAGTTACCGTATCAGAGCCACACTGCACCGCAGACGTGTGCAATGTAAATTGTCTAAGTATTAATAGTAGGGAAAGCCCCTTATACTGGAGCTTTATGAAGTGTTTCTTGGAGGTTATAGTACATTGAAGAATGATCATATTACTTTTTACATACGCCATGTGACCTGTAAATGCGAAAAAGCCGTTTCCATTGCAGTTTTGCGAATTAATCCTTTTGGGCATTGCCTGAAAAACTACCTCATGCAAGCGTAAAAACTTTTTTGCGATATATGGCTGTTTTTGCGAAATTGACGCGTTTCCATTAGGCGTATTTTCAATTCACAATTTCAATTTGCTCAATTTGAAGGGTAATGGAAATGCGCCTACAAGAGAGAGCATGGTCCTTTGTTCACTTCATACCTGTCACACTCACACACACATTGACTTTGTTTTCAGTTTGCACCGTCTTCCCTAAGTATATGTTGTCAGGGTTGCTAATTTGTGACATTCTGTTCAGCTGTGCACACCTCATTGACTTCAGTATTTAAGTTCATGCCTTTCACCCCTTAGTTGTCGGGTATTGTTTACACTTTGGTTGGATGCTCTGGTAACACTTTATTTTAAGGACTAGTTCTCACTATTAACTAGTTGCATATTAGCATGCATGTTACGAGCATATTGGCTATTTATTAGTAGTTGCAAAGCACATATTAATGTCTTATTGTGCATGACCATATTTTAGATCCCTAAATCCTACACAATACCTAAACTTAACAACTACCTTACTAACTATTAATAAGCAGCAAATTAGGGTTTTGTTCAGGAAAAAATGTTAACAGTGAATATGTGTTCCCTATTCTAAAGTGTCACCGATGCTCTTCTCTCTGCTTGGATCATACTGTGGATTTATTAAAGCCTGTTTGGAATTATCTTCACCTTCATAGTCCTGCTTGTTTGATACAAACTTAGTATCGTGGCAATACCGTGGATTTATTTATATTTGTTTCCAAACAAGGCACAGTTCGACGCAGGATTTTCAGAAAGATTGAATCTAAAAGATGATGCTGTGCGACTATATTGGATCTGACAGTAATGTCGCACCACACAAGCGAGTAACTGTTTTTATTACGTGCTCACTATTGCTTTGTTTGATATGAACTGAGTATTTATGTGTTTTTGACCTAAATCCCAGCAGCGTCCATCTATGAAGGCTGTAAGCTGTCAAACAAACACAACTGTTAGCCAATCACAGCAGTGATCGTTTACTTCTGAGTTTACAATTCGCCACACCGGTTCACAAACAGAGTTCAGATGAAGGGGTCAAAACAGGACAGAAAATAACCGGTTACTTCTGAATTATGATGTTTATTTATGTACATGTAGTCCATCTAGTTACTTTATATTGCTTAGTACTTTCTTGGGGAAGTGGACTGTAAGTGCATGTACTGTACAATAAAGGTGTAACCTGAGAAGAAGAAAAAAAACCTAAATAACAAATTGAATAGACTTATCAACTTTTAAAAGAGAGAAAACATTTCCCATATCTTTTGTTGTTTATGTCAAAGGCTGAACATCCAATCAAACTATATGGTGTATTGCATATTTTGGGTTGAATTGAATTGTTGATTATGTTGTATTAGTGTTTTGTGTGTTCAATTATTGGCTACTGAGAGCATGAAACCATTGCAATTCATGAGACAAAACCAAACACTCACATTCTGAACATAGGAAATGATGTTTATGCATTTACAAACCGTTCAGTTTTCTTATTCAGCATATGTTATTTTATAAATGCTGCATATTGCTGGGTTTATGCAGTTCACACCAATATTAACACTTTTTTAAGGTATATTTCATTTTATACAGTAAAAAACAAAATTGGTACTGAGGCCAAAACAATCTCTTCTAAACAACTCTTTATTTTTTAAGCGTTTCTGACTGCGCTGGAGTTGGCAGAAGACTGCTGATGCTGCACGGCATGTGCTGAGATAAAGCAAACACTGACTAGTACAGTAGTAAAATGCATTTCCCATTTCTGTACAAACACTTGAAAAGGTTGAAAAGCAGAGAGCGTTTTTATATCCCTGCTTCTCATTTCTTTCCTCTCTCTTTCTCTTTCTGCAAGCATGCTGACTACCAGTAATTTAACATTGCTTGCAGAATTAATTCATTCATTAACTTCAGTTCCTGAGGTTGTTTCCAATTAACCAAACACATCAAACGTAAACAAGCTCTGTCGCTGTACAAAACACATGACTAAACCAAGAGAAAAGATGGTTTTAATTTCAGAAAATGATAAATGGGGAGCATTCATTCTGAGCCGTGTTCATTTTCAGATGGAGAGGTTTTCGCTTGACCTCTGAGGGTTTCATCGTAACGCATTTGCATGAGAATGCAAGCACGCGCCGCCTGACACACGGCGTAAATAAAAAATGCAAAAATAAGCAAAAAATATATTTATTCCATTTTGCTGGTGGCCTTAGCTAATTAATTTTTCATATACTTCCATTTAAAAGTATGATCTTCCATTTAATTATGCTGAAGCGTGGTGTTCTGCGAGTCAATATTTGTGTTGTTGCTATAATTGGGCTTTGAGCACTGCGGGCAAACTGGGCTTTGCTGTGGTCACCACATCTTAATCGCTCAGATAAATACAGGTCTTTGCAAAGATGGATGGCTTATGGCTACTGACCCGTGCAAAAAAAAAAAACATAAGAGTTTTCAAACTCAGAAAGTTTATGAACAACATGAGGATGAGAAGTGTAATAATGTGACTCTTCATCAGAAGTGAAAATACTTGATGATTATGCCACTTACTGAGCTGTTTGGGGGTTTGTTCTGAAGAAAAAGCTTCGTAAACACTAATGGATAAAATGCGTTATGAGCAGTGTTGGGGGTAACGCATTACAAGTAACGTGAATTACGCAATCAGATTACTTTTTCAAGTAGCTAGTAAAGTATCGCATTACTTTTTAGAATATCTGAGTTACTTTTTCAAATAAGAAACGCAAGTTTTTTTTTTTTTCCAATTTATTGACTGACAGCTCTCCTGTCCCCATGTTGAGAGAAATCAGAAGATGTTACTGTAGTTCTAAAATAAATATGAATATGCATTAATTCATCTCACTCACAAAAAAACACAGATTCAGTGTTCCTCAAAATGAATAAAAATAATGCAACTCAGAATACGACGCAAACCTGCAATAATTAAATGTTAAACAACACAAATATGCTTTATGTATTTAATCCCATTCTATTAACCAATGTCTTTGCTTCTGACCTTCGATGATCCAGTTCAACCGTACTAATAAGCACAAATTACTCTAGACAAACATTTGTGTGTTTTTTTTACTGCTGAAGTGTGTTGAAATGTCTTCTTCTGCATTCTACTGTACGGACGTAAATTTACTTTCCCTTCAGCCTGAGGCTTATTAATTTCACTTTTGCTGTGAAAAGGCTTTTATATTTGCCAAAATATAACTTTTTTATTTTAAAAACAAACAAGCAAGCCCTGTCCAGATTTGAAAAGTAGTGCAAAAGTAACGTAACACATTACTTTCCAAAAAAAGTAACTAAGTAACGTAATTCGTTACTTTTTATGGAGTAATGCAATATTGTAATGCATTACTTTTAAAAGTAACTTTCCCCAACACTGGTTATGAGTTTGCAAAAACAGTCCTTGAAGTGCAAATGCTGGTGCTTTCAATCAAGACAATACGGTCTCATTATGTCTGTGAATGTATCTGCACAAGGTCTGTTCATTTAGTGCTCGATTTAATAATGAGAATGTTCCCCTGCATGCTAAAAGGTGGTTTTCATAGTTGAAATGTCTGAATTCTTGATTATGCAACTTAAATTACACAAATTCTTACTAAATCAAGGAGTGATGAGTGATAATGATATTTAGCTGAAGTGTGGATATGATGATGGAGTGTTGATACTTTTATGGTTCATATTTCAGCACAGCAAAAAACAAAAAGATCTGGTTACACTTTACTTGATGTATAATGCATTATAAAGGTATTCATAATATAAATTATAATGCATAATATATTTTCATAAATAATTGTAACCAAAGTTCACATGCAAATGTTTTGATACATCTGAAATTGGTTGTTAGCCATGGTATATATATATATTATAATGTATAATAACTGTGGATATAATTATTCATGCGATCATACATGTTATAAGGTGCATTACAAGACACAGTCAATGCACAATTACAAATACTTTTATAATGCATTATATATAAAAGCTTCATGTAAAGTGTCACAAAAAGGTACAGTAATTCCCATTACATTACTGCATAAATGAATAAATACTCACTGTCTTCCTCCGTCTGGAAGGTGACCTCTCGGCTCTCTTTCTTGCCCTCAGGATTGGCCAGCGCCAGCCGCACGTGAACGGCGTGGAACGGAGGCAGGTCCCGGAGCGTGAAGCGGGAGGGGTTCCGCTCCACCGACAGACACTCCCTCACCGTGGCGTTATTCCCGCCGGCTCCACCCCCCGCGGCCGTGGAGTAGCGGTAGCAGAGCGACAGCGAGTACGTATGGCAGCGCGTCAGGTTGTAGCCGACCGGCTCCCACTGCAGCAGCAGCTGACGGGACTGAATCTCCGACGCCGTCAGTCCCCTGAGCGGACGCATGGGCTCTGAGGAGAGAGAAGAGGCACGGAGTTATGCACATTTCACACTTTTACTTGAGTTTGCTGTTATCATGTTGCTAAGCTAATGGCACAATACTCTGATAAGCCTAAAACAAACATAACAGAATAGTAATAATGCTTGTTTTCAATACCCTGCAGTATTAAATGATTTAAATATTCTAAATAGTATCAGCATTTTTCTTGGCTTGTCGGACATCTTGGATTATTACAAGACGTCAGACAATTATATAAAGTTTTATTGATTGATTGATTATATATATATATATTTGTATTATTATTAATTTTTTTTTATCAAAACACCAAATGATTGGACAAGTCCTGCATACAATTTCCAAACACTTTTTTACCAGAAAGTCATAAACAAAAATGAAACATGCACAGATGAATTGTGCACAATAAGACCTATATTATGCATTTATATGAACTTGTATGAATCTCCATTTCATGGCGACTTTAAAGGTTCTTCATGAAATCTATGTACATAAATATATGCATATTTTTTTCTTTTTATACATTATGATATACATCAGGGGTGCCCAACCCTGCTCCTGGAGCTCAACCTTCCTGCAGAGTTCAGTTCCAACCCTGATCAAACACGCCTGTCTGTAATTATCAAGTGCTCCTTCAGATCCTAATTAGCTTGTTAAGCTGTGTTTGATCAGGGTTGGAGCTGAACTCTGCAGGAAGGTAGATCTCCAGGAACAGGGTTGGGCACCCCTGATATACATGATACATGATGATAGAATTTGGTCAAAACAAGGTATCTTAAGCTTCTTTTCCACCATCATGCATCGAATGGTTATAAGGATGGTAAGGTAAAGTTACATTTATATTTACAGTTTATTTACGGATTTGAAACCATCTCGGCACGGAATGGAACAATTAAACAAGGAGACGAGTTTGGCCCGATGATGGAAAAGCAGCTTAAGATACCTTGACCAAAGTCCACGTCTGTTATCTTAGTTAGGCTCACAAAAGTCTACAACACATTTCCAGATTTTAGTACACAAGCATCTACCTCGAAGCTAGCAGATATGGACTATAAGACACAGATCTCTCTAAATTAGATTTCACAGGTTCTTTATACAATCATAATATAATGTTTTTCTCTGGGAAACAGCACAATCCATGACCTGACAGATGGATGGAGCCGGAGAGAGAACGGCTGACTCTCACTAACAAGTATGAACTCTAAAGCCGTGAGAGACAGAGCTGTTAAAGTACATTTCATAGGTAATTCAAAGAGTTATTATTACATATAAATTAGCATTTCATGAAGCTCTGCTTCCTCTCTCTCAGTGCAGATGCGATTAGAGCTGCTATGAGTTAATTACACATGTCATGTGTGAAGGCAGGGGTCCTCGTCTGTCTTTCCTGTCACTTTAATTCCCTCTCTCTCACTCTGACGAGTGTTTCTACCCAGAGACAGACAGCCAGGAGACGAGCCCAGTGAGTCCTGCGTGTCAGTAAAAATAAAAGCACTTGGCAATACAACATGAGGAGCTCTACAACAAAAGCACACTGATGAATAAACACTGCCATTATACTTTCAAACTGAAAACATAAATATGAAAAATAACACCTCCAGTTCATTTTTCACATTTTCAGATTTTAAGACTAAGAAACAACCTGGTAACACTTTATGGATAATGCATAAATGTACTCATAATTATGTTATAACGCATGATATCTTTTCCTAAATAATTGTAACCAAGGTTTAAATGCATTGTAATATTTGCAGATTCCTTGTTACATTTGAAATTGTTTGTTTGTCGTGTTTTAATGCATTTGGCTTTCTGAAGGTGTAACGATGAATAGATATTATGATGTTTTATGAGTGTGGTTCTAATTATTCATGAGATCATACAATGCATTAAAACTACTTTTGGTCACACTTTAGTCTGGGACCAATTCTTACTATTAACTGACTATTAACTACAACTTTTGCCTCAATAAGATCACAATTTGCTGCTTATTAATAGTTAATAAGATAGTTGTTAAGTTTAGGTATGGGTTAGATTAAGGGATCTAAAAATGTGGTCATGCAGAATAAGGTATTAATAAGTGCTTTATAAAGTAATAATAAACAGCCAATAATAATATGCACGCTAATAAGAAACTAGTTAATAATGATAATTGGTATATATAGATATACCAATTATCATTATTAACTAGTATATATATATACAGTATATATAGGTTACAAAAAGGTAATTATTACAATATTGAATGAGTGAGTGAGTGAGTGAGTGAGTGAATGAATATAAATAATAATCCCAGTAATGAGTATTGAAAATATGCAAATTACAAATTAAACAAACTATTAAACTCGTTCATTTTGTGTAACAGACAAAAGTAAAAATGCATTATGGTAATTAACATGAAATGTTTTTGTGTTATAGCTATGATAATTTAGATGCAGTTGTTATGAAAATAATGTTGAATGCAAAAACTCTATAAAAATAGACTTCCTTGTCCTCAGTGAAAACATAATGCCTTATGTTTATTTCTTTAGATTTTTGGGGGGTGAAACGTGTGTTCATGTTTACACTCCTCGCTGCCTGAGACAGTCAGTGTCCAGTCAAGCCTGCAGACCCGCACCTCTGCCCTCCCTCCGAGTCCTCCAGACAAATCAAGCTGATTACACTAATTAATGAGACACATCTACTGAAACTCCCACAGGCCTGATGAGGAATGGCCTAACTGCTGGATATGACACACACACACACACACACACACACACACACACACACATAGCAGACAGAGACACATCCGCTGAGAATCACTACCAGGATACACACAGTATGTATGTACAGTGTGTATGTATGTATTTGTTTGTAATAATAAGGTCATCTGTATGTTAGTAATATACAGTACCTACATGAAAATAACTCCTTGAGTAGAGAGAAATATGTATTATATTATAATATAAATATTCAAAGAAATACTTGTGAAATGATGTAGAGTAATACAGACATCCAGAGCAGTAATGCACCTGTACTGTACATCTGCACCAAATCAGCCTCAACATCAGATACCAAAAATAAAGATGTCTGCCACAGTAGCAACATGTGTGCGGTGTAAAGTTTGTTCAGGGACCATGTTCTTCTGATGAATAGAGTCTCAGAGCACCTTCGACATTGATATATTACGAAGTCCAAAAGCAAGGTTACAACACAAGTGCATTTATACTACAGTTGTGTCCAGACAAACAACACACGCTCCTCAGAGGACCAGAGAATAAAGCCAAAATGTGATTATACAAGACGACTTGACTCTGTTTGGCACATCTTTGATTCAATTTGAACTAAATGAAATTGTGGTTTTCAAAATTTTTAGTCCATTTTTGTTATCTTTGAGCTCATCTATCTGCTAGAGTCCATGTGACAGCATTACTATGACATCCCATAATCTCATGCATGTGCTTCCATGCTTACTGGAGGGAAAAAAACTGTAAAACCTTAGTAAATTAATTTACTGTGGTGCCTTGAACATCTGTCTGAAAACAGTTGACAGTCACATTTACCACAGGCGAAATCCACTGATTTTCATAAGAATTCACACAACTTCACACTTGAGTGGTCTCAAGTGCATTTTAACACTAAACATTTTTAATGAAACATTTAATAACTGACTAACGAGGAAAAAAAGAGAGTCCGCTCACCGGCACACTTGGTTCTGCTGACCAGCGGGGGTCCAGGAGGGCCGGTCCCACCCTCTCCGGGCCGTGTGAGGAGAACACTGATGCGATATTCGGTATCCGGCTCCAGGTGCCAGACTTTATATGTCAGTGAGTTGACTCCGTGCGTTTCAGACCAGGGCGAATGGCTGGCCCGGTACACAATCTCTCTGCGGATCACAGGCCCGTCGCCCACTATAGAGTTAGTGTTGAGCTGGATGATCAGGTATGTGGGGCCAGAGCGCAGCAGCTGGGGCGGAGCTATGGGTGTGGGCGGGACTACAACAGAGTACAGCAAGAGAAAGAAAGAAGCAAAAATAACTTGCGATGAAACGTGCAACTTAAAACTTTCAGATCAGACTAAAATGATCAGAGATCTTGTTCAAAATAGATGTCAGGTAATCGTTTCGGATGCTGAGATGCTTCAGAAAGATCGGCAGAGCAGCTGAGACAGAGACAACTCAAGGTTTGACAGACTTTACCACATTTAACTATTTTGTCATCAAATCTTCTGTGTTTAGGATTAATAGTATCTATTGCATACTGTGACTGGACGAGCCAAGTTTCTGAACATCAAATAAGCATTAAATAGTCATTTTGGACTATGCTTACGGTATATGTTCATTGCACATTG